TTTTTTTTGTATATTTCCTAAGGTATATATGACTGCAATAATAATTTATTTCTTCAGTGATGACCTATCAAGAAAAGCTTTTCACAGCATTTGTTTTGCTGAACTGAGTAAGCAAAGCCATTCTGTTTTCCCATAAGACGGGCTCTAACCAATTTTTATGACCTTTTTATTTTATTTTGTGTCTCTTCTAGCTCAAATTAACTTTCTTTAAAAATTATTATTATCACTATCCATATTATTTCAAATTAAAAACTACCAGAGCAATGATATTCACCTGCATATACTGGAAATACTCACCCTGTTCAGGGCAGAATTAGTCTTTTCAGAGCTACATCACACAGTCAATGCACAGAAATCTTGTGATCAATTAATGTACTCCATTACTTAACCTCTTTATTGCTTCCAATTGACGAGTCACCACCTGATAGGAGAAATTCTTGCCAGCAATCTCAAAGTGCATAAACTTGTAAATTATTCACCTGAATCTCATTCATTTTCCAGTTCTGTGACAGCCAAAGTTATAAAGTTATATTCTTTGCAAGTTCTAATCCAGCTTCAGTTTAAGCAGTTTTAATTGCTATTCCATGTTCTCAAAAAAGATGTCATCTGCTGATCAGTATTTTTTTATTCCTTTTTGTTCTTTTCTATTGGTTGAAGGTCTGTTGAAAATACTGCTTCAAGTAATTATCCTTCATTCTAACATTATTTCTGAAAGTAGTATCCTTGCTGGGATATAAAGTTTTGGGTTTTTAAAGAAATTTAACTTCAATTCCAGGTATCTTCCCCAAATTCCTGAGCAGTTCATATTGGCTGATTTTCCTTAGTTTATCTAAGCTCACTTTACAAAGTCAAGCACTTAAGTTGAAAACATACTTTTTTCTTTACTAAAAACTAAACTGAACCAACTTAATCAGAAGCCCCAGTGAAAATTTACAATGATTGGCTTAATGGTATTATTTACACAAACTAAATATCACATAGTACAAAACCCCCTTCAAAGGGTTGTTAGTGCAATTTTATGTCTATTTCGTGAAAAACACTTAAGCTCTTCCTTGAAGACCCCTGACTTTCCCTTTCTGGTGTAAGCTCCAAAATTCTTTGGGCACAGAGATATTTTTCTCCATGCTGTATATTCCCACAGAACATAAATTCTTTGAAACCATGCCACCATGGAGAAAAAACCCCAGTGCTTTTATTGTCATCTGGATAACTAGTATGTTCTCCCAGGTTAAGGGAAATGTGGGATAAACCTCTTTTCTGTATAAGTAGTTTCCCTTCTAGGAGCTAGCTTTCAACAGCTGATAAGCAGTAAATTTCAGTGACTTACTGTATTTGCAGTTATGTTTTTTTTATGTTTTCTTTTGTCCTCTCTCAAGATAGCGGGATTCCTTGACGACGAGGATTGTGAAGCACAGAAAGGATCCCTACATTTAACATAGCTCTGGATTCCACTCCAGGGAGTAAGCAACCACAAATTTAAAAAACTATATAAAGAATTACTTTATTAGATCTAGTCCTATGTGACTTAAAAAAAAATATTTTCCCTAGCTATAATGCAGCCTATCATCACAAATTTTGATGATTTGATAATTTTTCAAAAAGAAGCAAAAAGCAAAGCAAATGTTTTCTTAATTGATGGATATTCTGTATAGACTTTATGTTTCTTATATGTGTATGCCAAGATTTAAGAATAAATATAAACCATTATCTTCAAGTAAGAGGATATGAAATGTCATTTTCTTACAATTTACCTTATAATAGGAAAAGCTTTTCCACAGTGTTCTGAATAGAAAGTCAGGCTGTATTCTCAACAGGATTATAATACACAAAAATAAAATCTCCATACAGTAAAAATGTTATGCTTGATGGATGCTGTAGTGCCTAGTGTTAACAAAGTTTATCCAACAGTTAATCCAATAGGAAAGGTGAAAGAGGCCAGCGTTGCTCATTGGGCTTCTCCTGATACAATACTGTTCAAATATGTAAGCTGCATATTAAAAAAAAAAAAATTAAGGGGGGGAGGAAAAAACAAACAAACAACAAAGAAATGAACAAAAAAACCCAAACAAATCCAACCAGGAAAAAAAAAAAAAAAAAAAACCAAAAAAAACAGGTAATGGCAAAGATTATTTTCCTTCTATGCTCAGTATCAAGTCTCAAAAGTTCTACCCAACAATTTTTATTTTTTCATTCTTTTCTCCTAATGCTCAATCTCTGGCCATTTTCCAAGATATTTTCCTCCAGAATATATGACCAAATTATAGATATGGAGGTCTTGGAGATGACCACACATAATGGAGCAGCCTAATGGGTTAAAGAACCAGGGATTATAGACTGGGTTAATGCCTTGGGTAGTCATTAGCACATTACCAAATAGCTGCAGAAAATGTAACTTCTTGTAATGAAAATGTATTTTGGTAAAGAAAGAAACTCTATAGGAACGAAAATTAGGTCATTCCTCCCCCTAGGTAGGCAGTTATATCAACACAATTGGAATGGAAATGACATGTTCCTGGTGTCATCATTGGCATACCTGACCACTTGTTAGAAGTCCTCCGTAAAGTACTTGTGAGCTGGAAGCACTCTCCTTTGTCATGGACATGAAAACAGAATGTGCCACTGTGTATGCACCAGTCACTACAGCCCTGCAGGGTGCTTCAGCACACAATGACCCCCTGCACAGACCTTCAATGAAGTCTTCCCGAGACACGATCAGAACAGCAAAGAGACAGAGAGCCTGAGAACAGCAAAGACACTCTCTGGTTTCTAACTTACTGTGTTAGCTTGGTACTGATCCTTGAACTCCCACCACAGATTTAAGGGCTATCCCAGCAAAAGGCATTTCATATATAGCCCGCCTTGGAATTAACTACTGCATCAGCCTGTCATGAGTCCTAAAGCCACAGCACAATCCATCCTCTTTAGTCTTCCACGGTCCAGCTGCTCTGTGATAGATAAACACTGTATATAATATGTTAATATTCAGAGCCTTTTAGTTAACCACACAGTTAACTGAATGGCTCTGAATATAATCTTGTAGCCAGCAGCAAAATTTTCAGCAAAGTTTCCTTTTTTTCTCCTTCCATTTGCTGTTACTGTGATGTGAGCCATATGGTCCTTTTCATCTCTTAACCCCAGAGAAACCTTCATTACTATTTCTCTCTATCTGTGGGATTCCATTAAATTCAAGTTGTCCAACCCTACATCCTACTTAAACTGAAGCAAATGAGAGGAAAAAAGTTAAAGTATCTCTCTCCTAATATTTTCAACATTATTTTATGTCAGAAGTTGAGGCCTGAAATGTCTTAAAATCATTATTTTAATCTGGATTTTATTTCTTCTGTTCATCTATTTAATGTATTGCTCTATAGCTTTATCAATTAAGTTTGCTAAAGCTTGCCTTATAAGCTGCAATTCTTCGACTGATAAATATTGATTTTTCTAATAGTAATTTTAGTCTAAATTTAAGCATACTCTCGCATACTATAAATTATTTGAAAATAATAGTCTGTTCCTTCTACATGCAGTTACTGTACTGCACATGGCAGAGTAAAACAGAATTTAATTATAGGAGAGAGCCCAGATCTTACTGTGTCCTACATTATCCAAAACAGCTACCAGATAATATAACCTCGCCTTGGTCTGCAGGGATTGTATATTGCAATACAAGAAAGATCACGGAAATTATATATCATAAATATAGGAGAAAGCCTGCAATGGAGGCTTCAGGTTTCCAAATCACCTCCACAAGCAAAGAAGTGAACAGACTCTAACTTAATTTTTCTCAGCAATCTTCCAGACTTTCTTACTCTCACATTGCTTTAAAATTGCTCCATTCTCGTGACTGAAGACTGTCATTAGCATCATCAGCAGATTGTCACCTAAGAGCACGTATCAGCTCCCGGTCAAGCCACAGTGTCACTGAGGTGCAAAAGACGCGGCACGGATGGAAGTCGCCACTAGTTTCTCTTGGCAGCCGCAGCACACACGCTCACCGGCCCGGGGCCGCCTTCCGTGGAGCCCCGCCTGATGTGCAGCAACTTCCTACACCGATTCCTAAGTGTTCTTCATGCCCTCGCCCCATTTCATTTAATGCTTCCTCCTTTCTCTTGCAGTACATTGGGACAGCAGGGGGCTGCTGAGGACACCCAGCCTAGCAGGTGATTGCCGGTGAGCGCTTGCTAATCCCTGCCATGTCCCTGGCCTCGCTCTATGAGAGTACAATCTCTGAGTTTGGGTTGATTTCTCGGGCCTGAAGGAACGCAGCTTCTTTCCCCAGTGCCCATTGAAAACTTATCGTTCATTCCCTTAACCTTAATTCCCTCCTCCTCTCTTCTCTCTGATCACAGCTCGCCGCCGCCGCTGACCCCACCCCGCTCCATCTCTGCCAGTCAGGCGACGAGAGGACGTGCCAGCCCGAGGACTCGGCGCGGTGCAGGCTGGCGCGGGCGCTGCTGTCGTACTCGCGGCAGTGGGGCCGGTCCCGCCGCCGCCTAGGGTGCTCCGCCGGCCGCAGCGGCCCCTGGGCGGGCCGGGCCGCCGCCGTGTGCCTGCCGAGGGCAGCGGCCGCGCTGGCGGAGCGCTTTCCGCTGCCGTTTGTCTCCCGTCTCTTCCCGTTCGCGGGAGCAGCTGCTGCTGCGCAGCCCTTCCCCGCCCGTCCGGTCGCTCCAGTGCCGTCGCCTCCTCCTCGCAGCCTCGCACGGCGCGGCCCGGTGAGCTGAGCGGGGCCGGGGCGGTGGGAGGCGCCGCAGCCGCCGTGGGGCTGAGGCGGGGCCGAGCCGGGCCGGGGGGCGCGGGGTGCGGTGGGCGCGGCGGTGCGGACACCCCGGGGGAGCGGCCGGGCTGTCCGGGCCCGGCTGAGGGGCGGCCCCGCGCCTTGCTGCCCGGGGTCAGGGCCGCCGCAGCCCGCAGCGCCCGGCCGGGCCCGGCGGCTCGGGGCGCTGCGGCACCCGCTGCGGCACCCGGGACACAGGCGGTGTCCCGGGCTGTGCTGGGACAGCGGCACCCTGCTCCTGCTCGTTTCTGTCTTCACTTTGTGCGACAACTGATGCCTGTATGTGTAAGAGCGTGAAACAGGCAACTCTGGCCCTGGGATCTCTTGGAAAAACGAGATTACACACCGATCAGTGGTTTTCCAGTGTATCGCCAGATCTGTTCGCTGTCAAAGCCATTTACACACTCTATATCCTACCTGTGCTTGGACGACCTTAGGCAGCATGCAACATGCTAGCAAGTCAAAAAATATGTTGCAAGTAACAATTGGATTTTTTAAACTTCTGTTTATTATATGGGTTAGTCTTGGTACAAAAGGATCACACTGGCCGCCCTCTGACATTAACTTGCATCATACAGAAGCTGATCACACAACCGCTGAACTGGTAGAAGAGTTTGTAGACAAGGAGATGCACAGAAGCAGATGATGCATCTTTCTGCTTCCCTTCTTTAGCAGCCTGGAGACAGTTCTTTAAATTTTCTGTCTCCCCATCTTAAGTGCTATTTTTTGAGACACATTGTTGAAGAAGGTTTTTTTAAGCATTTCTTTAATCAGAAATACTTTGGAGATCAGAAACTACCAGGACGTTTTTAAAGTGTACCCTAATGTCTTCCATGGCTGTCTCTCTGTCTGGTAAATTATCAGTTTCCTCCTTCTCTGGGAACAGGAACCTGGGATATGTATGGACTCTTGTTGGTTAGGACAGCTCATTTTCCCTGTCATCCTCCCACAAACCAGACACTCACCTAATTTTTTTTTAAGATTATCAATCTGCTGAAGTTTTAGTGCCCTAGTTTCTTACTGCAATCTATTATTGTAATTTTCATGGCTCTAATATTCTGAAGGATCATAGGTGATTTTGGAAGAAAAAGCATTGATAAATGCTAGTGCTGCTACACTTAATTTCTCATTTTTATGTATTTGTGAATGAAGGGCAAGTTAGTTGAAATTCTAGACCAGATTTCAACAGAAATTTAGGGGATTGTGTTTAGTTTTTCACTTTGAACATACGAAAATTTTTAATAGGAGTCATACTAAATGTTTTTTAGCAATCTTTTTGAAGACAGAATGACCAAAATGTAATATATTATACAATTTATACTTCGTAAGACATTTAGATATGAATAGACCTTATTTTATTCCCCCTTGAAAATTTATGTAATCTGTCTAGTCTTCTCAGCTGGTAAAACTTCAGTGAGTTCTGCATCCAGAACTTGCATTCAGCAAGAATAGCTGACCTATTTGAAGGAGTTCACAAAATAGCAGTGGTAGTTGGAGATCAAGAAAGCATTCTCTCTGAGGGAAAAGAGAAAGATTTATTTAGTTCAAAGACAAGACTGAAGGCAAGCTAATATCTAATAAGTGTTTAAAGTTGTAAAATGTTCTGCATGGAAGAAAAGGAGCAATTTTGTTCTCTGTATTCGCTATATAAGGGAAATTAGAAGAAAATTAAATTTAAGTATTAGGGAAAGAGTAATAAGAGGTAAGAAGACAATGAAATAGTTTGGGAACGCTGTAAAATCTTCATCAAAGGTCTCTAAGAGAAGATTAGACCAATGATCTCCAAGAAAGGGAACTGAGACTGGTTTGGAAAGGAAGTCTTAGGACCCTGCTACTGGTTTTACTGGGACTAAAGAACAGAAAAGACTTTGAAGGTAATCAGACAAAAGCCATGGAAGAATATAGGCTTTTAAACACTGATACATCTGCATGCTACTTGGGAGGCAAGCATGAGCTCACACAAAGCAACTGACCTGAGAGCAGTACAACACACATGACCTAGTACTAAGATAAAAAGGCCCACTCAGGGCCTGACACTATTTTTGGAGTTCCAAATGGAAGACTTTTTATCTTTATGTAGGCACTTTTTGCTGAAGGAGGGCAAGATTTTAACAGTCTTATGTGCAAACCAAGACAAATGAAACTTACGAAAATATATCCAAAACACTAAGGTTAAACTGCATTTAACAAAATAAAAAACCTTCAAAATCCTGCGTTCATATGCATTTATTTGAACTTACGTACAAAACAAAATAAAAGTGCGTGTGGTAAGTGAGAAACATGCTATGTGTAGAAACCTCTGCAGTGTGTTAATATGCATGTGTAAAGTATCTTCTGTCCTTTGTGAGGACTGCAAAAGACACATACATGCAGATTTTTGATACACCTACTTAATTTTTAAATACTCTTAGGCCAGAAGAACACTTCAGCCCACTGTACCATAATATTAAAAAAAGTACCCACTTGAGTTGGATTTTTTTGCATGTAGTCCACTATCAGCACTCTTGGTTACACAAAATACAACAAAATAACAATCATGCTATGTGTGTCATTACGCATATACTAAGCATTAATTTCTCTTATGTAAGTGTAATTTTAAATAAAAGATATATGCTGAACTAAGAAGAACCTCTCAAAGGGTATAACTAACTAAACAAAATAAATAAATAAAAGACCTTTTATATTGCAGTAAAGCTTGGAAGATATTATACAGTTGAGGAGGATGTTTACATCAGCTCAAATGCCAGTGATCAGTCTTTTATCTGATTGTTGTGAGGTCTATCACCAAGTTGTTTTTGCCCTGCTCCAATCATCAGCTTCAAATGAAGCAGCTGTTCAAAAGATAGCAGGATATCCTCTTCTCTAAGGTGAAAAGAACGTGTAGAGAGACTTAAATATATCATTTGGATTAAAAATACACAGCATAAAAAGTGTTGCAAGGGATGTATCACATCATATCAAGAAGGTATTTGAGTAGATGAGGATATGGCTGTACCTAAAGAGAATGTCTGAGCTAGCTGCATGCAAAATGTCTTTCAGTCCATCCTGGTTGATCTTAGATTGGAGGATCACACTGAACTGTTGTAAAATTAAATTCATGCTAGAAGTGTGTGAATAGAATTTGTGAAGAATAAATTAATTAGGACAGCTTTAAAGTGTTTGAAAGTCATAACTGATAACCATTCTCTCAATACCCTGTGGTGCCTAGTGTCATAACAGCAAAGGGATACAAAGTACTTCTAAAAATTATCAAAGAATGAATTTACTTTTTAAAAAAATCATTCATAGACAGGTTCATTATATGTTCCACTTTTGAAATGTGTCTGATACAGAAAGTAGCAGCACTGATTTAGGTAGGATAGTAAAAACTAAGTTTTAGTTCAGTAAAAACTGAAGTTCTGCTTAAGTCAAAGCATTTGAATAATTCAGTTTTTGTCAGGAACAAGACAGGTTACTAGTATAAGTTCTTAGCTTTTATGTGTCTCTTGCATGATCTTTTGCTTGTCTGTCTTAAGATTCATTAATGAACATTTAATAAAAATACATTTTAATTGTGATATTGCAAGGAAATACTTAATGTTTGCCTTAATTTCACTTCTTAAACTGAGAGTGGATCTGATTGTTAAAAACTGCATGTATACTTGAGCTCAGATTCTGCTGTATGTACCTATGTTAATGCTTGTCATTCTCAAACTATATTTCAGATCTTTACTTTTGTAGAAAAGTAAACAATGCAATGAATTAAGACCTCAGATGTAAATAAAAGATAATAAGTAACTTCTCTGTCTGTTTCATTGTCTTTGATTGCATCAGAAAACAAGGCAGAAAAGGGAAAGGTCAAAATTGTGAAAATGCAAAAGTCTGTATGTTTCAACAAGGCAAACTGCTCTTCAGACAACCTTTAGTGAAGACCTCAAAGTTGCTTTAGTGAAAACTAAAAAAAAATTAAATGTTAAAATTGTTGCAAAATTAGATGTTTGGACTCTGAAACTTTTTACACTGATTTTTAGTTTTATAGTCCGGCATGCCCGTCAATGAGTGCAGTGCACTTTAGCATTCTGAGTAGGCCTAACTCTAGTATAGAGCTTGAGTTGCCATGTAGATGAAATTTTTTTTTTTTTTAATGTAGCTAGCACAAGGGGGTAAAAACATAAGTACTCTGAAACAAAAGTTGGAGGATATTTGGAAAAAACATGACAAAAAAGGAAGACTTTGGAATAAGGTAGAGAAGACTAGAGAGACAATTATGATGCTGCAAGACACAAAAAATAGAGTATTTGTTTTGTCCTTCTGGTGTCTTAATGTAAGTCCTGTTTCACAAAGAGGTTAATACAGAGGTTCTTGAAAAATGGTTGCATCAGTAGTGCTCATCCTTGCACACAAACTAATTTAAGGGAGCTAGCCTCCAGGGGCATGTTGAGAAAAGAATCTGTTATCTATGGTTTTATGTTAGCATTCATTATTGTTATGTGGCATTTTATGTGTGTATGTTTCTTTATTGCTTAGGGTAGCAGTGACTTATTGCTATGGCCATATTCCAGAAAAACTGGAGTTCTCTTATCTTTTGTCCAAATATTGGACAAGCTTTTTGTTTGGTTGATTGGTCAGCTTTGTTTTATTTTCGTTTTAGTTGTTTTGTTGTTTTTGCTTTCTAGTTCTTTTTGCAACCTGGAAATAAAACCAACTGTTTCATGTTACTATTTAAAACATCTAGATGGCATGCTACACAAAATCAGAGTGTATTTGCAAGTAAAATATTAGTCTCCTCTACAGTGTTGAGAATATTTATGGACTTCAAGGTCTCAAGAGAAAATTGGTGTTTCAAAAGGTGACCAAATTGTTTGCTTTGTGGTCTTTACAGGTCAACATACAGAGCTGCAAAATCCCAAGCTGACATAATGAACAGCCAAGAGGCTGGTGTTCTCTGTTGCTGGAAATGTAGGAAATATGTAGCAAATTCTGTTTTTCTTGCAAAATGTAATGGGAAAAAAACATCCAAAGTAAGTATTGCTTCTTCTGAGGGAGTTTGTAAGTTCTTCTGGTGCTGTTTATTTTAAATGAAGGAGAAGTATTAAACTTTGCCTCACTTTGTAATTAATTTCTGGTGGAGGTAAATCAAAGTAGAGACAGTTCTGTAGAGAGTTGTGTAGGAAACAATTTTAGTGAAGTCAGGTAGACAGTGATCACCTTCATATTCTGCCACACGCAGGCTGGTGTTCACAGACACTTGACTAGTAGCCTGTATAGAGCACTACCATTTCTAATATAAAAATGGGATTTAGTTTTGATGGTTTTAAAGCAGTCCTTTTTTTGTTTTAATATCTTCTAATGGACAACTTCTTATGTATAAAGTGTATTTTAAAGACTGGTTCTAATTTCCACTGTGGTAGTTAACTGTGTGTAAAATATCCCTACATCAGAAAATTTTTCTCTTAATTTTTTAAATATGGGCCATAGTCTGTGCACAAAAATAACTAAGAAAATTAGTCTGCCCTGAGCAGGGTTACTCCCTGCTCAGTAATTTATATTGTGTTTATTAAAATAAATGGAAGGGTAATTACACTGAATAAAACCATGACAGAGTATTTCCTACTGTTGTGTAATGGCACCTACTCATAATAAATAGCTAGGGTCTTTCCAAATGTGCCAAAAAGATTTACAGCCTCTTGAATCAAAATTAAAAAGCAAATAAAAGAGAAGGTGGTGATGTTTTTTATAAATGTGTTAGTAATGCAATAACATTCTTTTGCACACTAGAGAGGGATACAGCCAATAGATGTAGAAACAAAGTTAGTTTTTAAGATCGTGATAGTATTATCAATAAACCCCATTTTAATCACTCTGCTTACAGAGCTTGAAGTTCTGGAATAATTTTCACACTTTATATTTGATGGGTTTTTTGTGCGTGGTTTGAAGTAATTTCAAGGGAATGTGGAAACTCCATCTCCTTCCATGGAAAAAAATGTAGTGAAAAGAAAGAGGTGTCTTTGTCCAAGTTGCCTATGGTGGATCTTTCAGTTACACACAACTGAAGTACCTTCTCCATTTATGTAGGTAGCAAATAAAAAAGTGTAATTTAACACTGTATCTAAAGAGATTGGGTGGGAAAAACAGTATTATGGTGAGAAGACTAATGTTTTCAGTATGTTTTCACAGATGAATTTTAGACCTTCAGACAAAGATAGCTGAATAATGAATGAAAAAAAAATGTGGAACAAATGTTGATGTTACAAACACAGTATAAACACTAATAATTATATCCATATTAAAATGCAGCTGGTCTTCACAGATAGGACAAAAAGCCAACATAGACATGATAAATGGATTTGTCTGTCTTCTGTCAATACTTGGAGAATTTTTAAAAGCTTCTATCTTCTGTCTATAGCTTCACTTTTAATTTTCAGCAGAATGAAATTTTTATTTCAATGACTTTAGTATCATGGGTGTCCACAACTTTCTTTATTCATAAATTTTAACAACTGATTTTAGGACTTTCTCGCCAGAATTTCTTTATAATTTTAGCCATCCCTGTAACACTAATTTAGTTTGATAATTGCTTCTATTTTAGTATCAATTAGTGCAATGCTACAGGTTTTTAGATTTTTTTTCTCTTCACTTAATCACATTGTTGCTGTAAAAACGCTAAAGTTGCTAGGATTACCTGGTTACTCTGTTAGTTATACTAAAAAGAATGAGAAAATTAATTCTGCTCATTGCATTTGTGCCTTGCTGATCATGGTCTTCATGTAAGCGATAACTTGTCTTTACTGAAAAATTATGCCAGCTGACAGTGATACTAAAATCAATTTCAGATATTTTTGGAAGGCTGCAACTACATACTTTCTGTTCTTTTAAATGAAATAAAACTACTTCCAGACTCCTACATTTCCACAGGAGTATGCCCAGTATTCTTAGATTCAGACATAGAGAATTACTGACAATATCTACCTGATTTTTAGCTTAAAGAAGTACATAACATTTGAGATTTATTATTTGTTGATGTTTACTGGTTTTAGGGAGCTGACTTCTGGCTATATTCAAAGAAAAAAAATCCTACATAAATTTTGAGTATCAATGCAATTGTTTTATTAACAGATATATCAACCTTCAGCTGCCGCTCAGAATTGTTGCAATGTATGGCATGTGAGCTTAGAAGCCATTCCAGAGTGGGTGAAATGTGTCATTGAAAAGGTAGATTTTTTTTTTTTTTTCTTAGATCTCCATTATTTAGCATGTAAAATAATTAAGGGGGACAAATTTCAAGGACACTTTCCTGGCAAGGTCCATGTATGTTGCAGAGACCTTATGACTGAGGGAATTCTTATCGGGAACTTCTGTTGTTACCATTTACAGATTTTTTTTCCTCTCTTAAATGTTTGATTTTTTTTTTGTTTGTTTTTGTTTTTAATATATGCATAAGTGCTACAAGTGATAAATTCTGTTTCTTGTTCCATAACAGATGAATGTGTTTATGCTTGTCCAGATAACTGTCATGGATATCTCTGTATATTTGACAAGGCTTAATATTGTATTTATTACCTAGGCTTTGGGGTTTGCTTTGTTTTGATCATCATATCTTGCAGTACTAAGGTATAGGTTGACAGTGACAACAGGAAGCATGTTTCCCCATAAAAATGGACTGCAAATTTGTTAAGAGATCAGTTTTTGGAATATGATATATTTTATACCTAAGTCTTTTATACTTAATGTGTTCTTATGTCATAAGAATATAAAGTAGATACCTTCCTGCAAACTCAAAGGTCTGGTGACAAGCCAGTGTCACTGCTTTTGAGTTTTAACTGCCCATTTGTAGTTTCCAAACCATCTCATAAATTTCCTGTTGTACTGACTGCTTCAATTGCTTATTTTTTCTAAGTTGGTTTAGATCTAGAACTTAATGTTGTGGCATAGATACTAATAAGCAGAAGCAGTGTTTTTTGCCACACAGATTTTCTTTTATGAATCTTTGATTTTGATAAGTAAATTATATTTACATTCCTTAGACTTCTTCTTAGACTTCATTGTAAAATTTTGCTATAGTTTAAGTAATTTCTGCCCCGAGCAAACCCATACTGCAAATGATGCACAAAGAGAAAAAAAAATTGTTATGACTGTAGAACTAAGCATTCAGAAATTTAAAAAACCTTCATCTTCCTTCTTTGTATTGCTTTCTGTGGGGTTTTTTTGTTAAACATTAATCAAACTTTTTAAAATTAGTGATCTCTTCTACTTCAATGAATATAACAGAACAGTTATGTTCAGAAACACTAATTGTGGAGGTGTGTTTGAAAATCTCAGCTCCTGAGTTATGAGTTATAGTATGAGTCACTTTACAATATCGCCTAACCATGAATCTTCAATAATGAGAAGGCAGTTTTTTACAGGTTTTTTGCCTCTTAAATTATTTCAGTGTAATTGGATTCATATTGATAGTAATAAATTCTTTTCACTTTTAGCTTTTAAATTATTCTTTTGCACCTTTAGCTTTTGCATTTGAAAACTTGGAGGGTCAAACTGGAGACTGAGGAAATACAAAACCCATTGACTGCTTGACACACTTGCTTAAGGCTGCAGAGGAGCAATTCTCCTCTGGTGAAAAAGGCAGACAATGCAATTCTCTGTGTACAACTTCGACATTTTTATGTTCATTGTGTCACTTAATAACCTCGGAACTCTTGCCTCATTCACTTTGTCTCCTCTGGCAAGATCCTGTGTTTCTATGGATAAGTGCAGGGGGTGCAGTGTGTTAAACGATTCTGACTTATCTCCAGATCCTCCTGAGCTCTGAATAATTTTGTGATCATGTGTTATTTTCTCATGTGTTATTCTCTGATCATGTGTATGACTCCTGAATCAAAGGCTAAATCATTTTGCATAAGCGCAAAGTCTATTTGCAGGCTGTAAAAACCCACTGCTTCCCAGCCGGTTCTTTTTTGCCATCTGTCCCTGTTCTTAACCAATCTCCTTGGATTTCATGTACATATTAGTATAGTTAATCTTCGATAATTACAAATATGTAGCTAGTGCTGCTAGTGACCTTTATTGACTTGGATTTTCTGTTACCCAGTTGTTTTGGTTTATTTTTCTAACCATTTCCATTTTTTCCTCTTTATGCAGTCCATCACTAAATCTGTGTACCCTCAGCTCCCTTTCAGATCTTGCTGATCTTCCCCCTACCACCTCCTCCACTAGTAGGCTGTTACTTCTTCTACTGAGTCAGTGCTTCCACACTCCGTTGCCAAACTCATGCTAAATCAGTCCCAGGCTCCTTGGTATCATCCCTCATCTCCCAGTCTCTGTGCACGTGGGACATAGAGAGATGTCCTTTTTCCTCCATACTGTGTCTTGCATGTCCATTTTTTCTGGAGTTCTAGCCTTTTTAATTTTCATGAATCACTCTGCCTCTCCATTTGAAGATTCAGGATGCTATTGCATGCCAGAGAGACTCAATAAAGTCACTAGAAATTGCTTTTCTCTTAATTTTAGTGTCTAGCCCCTGGCATCTGGGAAATGGAGTGTGGGAAACTTAAGAGTAAATCTCTGAACAAGCTTAATTCTTCTTTGGGAATGTCATGTGTACACATTGGTCAGCCTTATAAACTGAGAGCGATTGTGCATGTTTACAGAATTCTCAAGAATTTTATAGCCCGTGATTATAAGTAAGCTATTCTTTTTTCTCCAAGTTAAAAAAATTGTCCAGATTTAAATGGATTCTCATAGGTGCAATGAAAGACACATCTTTGATATTTTGTGTAATTTTGAGGTTTTAACCCACAAGCCGAGAGTAGGTTTCTCAAGTAAGTGTCTCCAGAACTTCTAGCATTATGTGTGAAAAATAACCTTTCTTTCCACACAAGTTGATGGAGTATTTTTTCTGAAACTGCTAAACTGGTCTTTCTGATGTTTTCTGTAGCTTTCAGTAGGACAAGCATCAGTTATGGACATAGCTTTCCAAATCACCTTGAAGGACGTTTGCAACTGAAAACAATGCTTAAACTAGAAATATTGGGCAGCTTCTGTATTCATGGTTCTTTAGACACTGAAGTGAGTGAATTGTGACTGGAGTTGATAAGGGTTTCTCCCATCTGGGCTTTGATCCTACAAACAGTTGCATAACTGTAGTCCTCAACACTACTGCTGACAGATGAATGTGACTGCTGAAAATACTAACAGTTGTCTTAATATATAGGAGGACTAATAGTTGTATTAATGTGTAGGTGTTTATAGCTCTTTGATATGTATTTCATTTGAAAAATGAAAATAACTTGTTTCCTTATATATAGAGTATTAAGGATTTGTCATGGTTTCTGCACAGAGATTATGTTGTAATACTACATACACTAAATACAAATACCATTTTAAGCTTTTGTGGGGTAATCAAAGTGAAAAGCTATATTCTTTCCGTAAGAAATCTTCTTCCACCATACTTAGTAAACGTAAGAAATGTAGCAAGAAATGTATCAGCACTCAGAACACTCAGCTGAGAAGCTGTGCTTGCCAATTCCAGATTAACATAGGAAATTTATTTTACTGCTTTAAATATCTAATGTTTTCATTAGTATTGTAGCATTATTCTAACTGTGGACAAATTTTAAACATATTTCAAAGATCATAGATTTTACAATGTGTGTTTTCTTAGAGTTAGTTGTCCCTGTAGCAAGCCAAGCTTTGACCAGAATATTATTTATGATGGATTTGCTTTCTGCTGTGAAGTGTCTTTTATTCTATTTGAAAAACAAGACGAAAATCCTCTTACTAAATAAGAAAATATTTTTTTAGTAATTATAAATAAAAGAAAATTAAAAAAAAGAAAATATATATTCAGTAATTATTTCTTGCTCATTTATTTACAGTGAACATGTTGTGTGGTTTTTTTTTTCTCTTTGTCAATAGGCACAGTGGACAATTGGAAAACTGCACTGTCCATTCTGTGAGGCCTGCTTAGGGGGCTTTAACTTTGTTTGCAACAAAGAATGTTCCTGTGGACAGTTAGTAAATATAAATTTCTTCAAAATTTGGACTGAGAATCCAGTTAAATTGTCAAAATCACCAGGGAAACATTTGCTTCTCAAAATTCAGTCTGGTTTTAACAAGGATACCTGCCATGAAGTGGTAACTGCAACTTTGGAAATCATAAATCAAGGGCTTTCTTACACTGCTGGAAATAATAATAGTGCTGGAAGATTAACAGAAGCACTTTGTCTAGAAGTAAGAGCTCCCAGATATGAGATCGAAAGTAAAAAACTTCCATTAAAGGCATTAAATCAAAAAAGAAATCTCCTTTCTTCCTATCCTGTAAAAGATACATGCACTGTAAAACCTTTTCACAGAAGATCATGTAGCTTGGATTTAAATATCAGAGAAAGACTTGTTTTGTCACCTGTGTTATCTGAAACTTGCAGCATGGGAACACTTTACCATGGCCAAAATGAAAATCCATCTGCTTACATACAAGGGAGCTTGCAATTAGAGTCCAGTAGGAAAGATGGTAGTTCTTTTCAGGATCTGTATAGTTCCAGGGCTGACATACTACAAAACAAATTTCAGGTTAGTTCCGTTACCACATTACTACACAGAGATACTGAAAGTGAGTGTGATTTTGAAGTTACTGGACAGTCTTCTGGGAGTGTCATTTCTGATGGGTCACCATTTGTGATGAATCTTTCCTTGCCTAGAAGGACTGTAGAAAACAAACAGTACATCACATCTTGTGGTCTTGCGCAGTCTATGAGCATTTCCTTCAACCAAAAGCTGAGTAAGAGAGAAAGAAACAAGTCAAAAAGCCTGAGGAGAAAACACAGAATGATAGAGCAATGTCTACAGAAGCAAGTAAGTGTTTAAAATTAATTATGCTACTTTTTTGGTAAAATTTGACTTGCTTTTAGAAATAATTCTGATTTTTTTCAATATTGTCTTTTAATACTGGTTTAATGTGGAACTGTCTAGAATCAGGTATTATGCAAGCAAAAATTTATGACCCCCTTCCTACATGTAGTTTTTTTCTAATTCTATTGTATCAGGTTTTCTTTCTGTGCAAAATCAAAACATGATGGGTTTTCATTGGCCTTCTTATTGTTTTGTGATGTAATAATAATTTGAAGTGGGAAAAAAATACACTGAAATTTAATCAGTGGGATTAAAGAAAAACTAAAAATTTTAATCTTCTAAATGAGAAACTCTACCATGTCAAAACTTTCTAACTTTAAACTAATGGCATTTTGAGTTGACTTTACAGTTAAGAATTTTTTAAATGCCTTTATTATTTGTTGTAAGATATTATATTATAAGAAACTATTTGTCTATGAGTAAAGAGTTGTTTACTACTATTTAAAATAGTAATAGGTAAATATTTTGCCTGCAAATCTTACACAAATTGTTACATATTCTTATCAATTGTACAGTAATGGTTTCCTTCTTTAAACCATCAGAAGCAGAACATAATAAAGGTTATAGGCAGTCACAATTTTTGGTGGAAGGCTGGGAAGAAAAGAGTCATAAAATTACTAACCCAATTTTGGTTTGCTCTCAAACTTAGTACAATGACTACTGATAAATATGCCTTTAAAAGAAAATTCCCATCACAATTTCTCTGCAAAAAATAACCGTGTAGTAAGCAAGAGCAAACTTACTAGCTAATCAGAGAAATAGTATGTACTCAAGCAATTATTCCTGCTTTGGGTAGGTTTGTCACTGTGAATTCAAGATTTAAGAGAGATACTTAGAGGGTGTCTATCTCAATTTTATGTGAGAACCAGCTTGAAAACATAATGGGTCTGGGAAATATGAGTCTTTTCAGTATGGTATGCATATATTCTTTCTTTTGCAGGCTGTTTGTTTTGCTTTAAGACTTAAACTGCTATTGAGACCTTTTGAAAACTTGCTCTTATAAAATGCATCTCTAAAGCTGAGAATATGGATTTCTTAATACTGAATACTTGCTTTCTAATAAGCCTAGAAAGATTGTTAGCTGTCCAGATCCTTAAAATGGCTTTAAAAAATCCAGATTTCATTATTTTGGTAAATGAAATGATGATGCACAAGCGCAATGTGTATTTTTCATTTTCATCATGTCACCTACAGTTTCTCCAGACACTTTAATATTTAGATGTTACTTTCAAGAATAAAACATTGTACAAATTTTCTGAATTTTTGATAGCTAAGAAAGAAAGATGCTTTCAGACCTTTTTCTTATTAAAACATGCTTAACCTATTCCTACATTATTTTAATTACATTTCTTAAGATCTCATTATTGGAGAGATGCCTCTACCCAAATTAAGGTGTAAGTGAGACCATATACTGAAGGCAATAGTGTGAAATTTATTTAACAGTAAATGGGAGGTAGAGAGAGATAGAAAGAAATAGAAGGGGGGCGGGGGGTGGATGATAAAAAGAGTGAGAGAGACAAAAGTAAAAAGGTATCGCCAGCCATGGTTCCAGACATCATCCCACTGGTCTTCTGGTCTTCTCAGTATTGTCAGTTCAAAGTCACTCAAAACTTCTCCCCATTTGTACACTTTAGCAAACAAAGGAATCAATGCTCATTTAGTACACAGTTCTCCTATTCTCTTGGTTAAATGATCGACTTGATTCCAATGATGATTAGTCCCATGCTCAGTTTTCCTCTTCCTTTGAGTCAGTGGGCCATGGCCCCTTCCTTCTGAGCTGGACTCAGTCAGAGCTGATTGTCAGCACAGTTGCTGAGCTGTCTTTCCTTACACCACCCTGTGGCTCAAACACTGTGTTCCAGGAACTTTTCCTCAGTTCACAGGTTGTCCATCGGGATGATAGAGAGATAGAGGCCACTATGAGAAAATACAGAAACAGCAGAAGCAATAACACTAGTAATCACACCACATAAAATAGCTGTGCAAATCATTAAAAATACAAATCCAATTGCAATTTTTAACCCAATCCTGATTAGCCACTGCCCCTACCCAGTGATACCCAAGGTTCTGAGTGTTGTTTAATGAGTAGGGGATGTGACGGATTCCGCAATACTGTGTCTGTTCTATGTAGGCCAAAATTAGCCATAGAATTACACAGTGGGTCTTGATTTTTAAATCCCATAAACCTGTATCCCCAGCAGATACATACATCATGTATTAAGATGGGTCAATCAGCCAACGCTGAAGCAGATTTTCAGGTCCCTTACTACAATTGATTACACAGTTGCACACTGGGAATAAGTGTGAGTGGGTTTGTTGACAAGGTGTGCTTACATACTTCAAAGTTTTTAAAATAGTGTTCTCTTTCAACCATATCTACATGTAGTTCAAAGAATTTTATAGGAAATTTTACAGGTAGTTCCTGTCCAGCTGGGTAATTCTATAAAACTAAAAGATTTAGTTATATTATGCCAGGTTGCTTTTTAATTTTTTTTAATTATTAATTTTGTTTGTTTGCTTGCTTGTTTGTTGTTTTGTGGGGCATTTTCCAGTTTTTTCTTTGCTTCCTTGTGGGTTTTTTGTTTATTGGATTTTGTTTGGTTGGGCTTTTTGGGGTTTTTGTTTTCTTTAATTTTTATTTCAGGGTGCAAATGGCCCTTGTCACATTCACTTTTAATTGCTGACAGAGTAAATTGTACCTACAACTGAGAAGAAGGTGTGGTGCAGAATGTACTAGAGTAACCATATTGATTAGCATAAATAAAATAAATTAGGTAAAGTTAAAATACTCTGTTAGGACACACAGTAGGAAAGTCAGTGTACATCAGACATGTTCAACTGGGAATATAAGTCTCTGATTAGATTTGGAATGTCTCATGATTGATAACATATTTGGTTCCAAAACTGGTCACAGGTAAAGTTGCTTAAGATCTGGTAAACAGCCTTTTTGTATTTTGCCCATGCCCCTTTTGCAGTCCATGGCTGTCTGTTCTTCAGGTCTAGAAAGGAAATGGTCACCCATTTCCCATGGAACATTTTCTTATGTTTTGTTAGGATTATTCAGCTCACTCATGAATATCTCTGAAAAAATGTAGCCAAATCCTCATAAATCTAAAGCCTTCTGAGGCAGAAGTGGTTAATACATATTTGCATGATTCCAAATATGCATAAATTTTTATGCCCACTCCCAGGTTAAATTTGATTTAGACAAAATTATACATTTATGAGACAAAAGTAGAAGCTCTTCCCACACCAATTTTTTTCCAGTAAAAGACAAAATAAACTTGGCAAAAAATCAAATTAACAACACATAAAATGTTTCACTAATATATGGTCTCCCAACAAGTTCACTTGCAATGAAAACAAATCACAAACATTGATAAGTAAACAAATCATAAACATTGATAGTACAAGCAATTATGGTGGCAATTAAAATTTTCATCGGTTCCATGCAGCTCAGTCTCATATGTTGCCAGGTTCCTATAAAAAGAAATGTGAAAATCCAACCTACGATGGATAGATTATTAGGAGGATGGAAAATCCATCCAGTGTTGATTCAGAGGTCCTGTCTACCACAAAGGTTAAAGGCCCTAAAGGAAAAGTTATTATCATATCTTCTTAGCTGACTTCTGTGAACTTGCTCATGTAAATCCACTGGTTCACTCTGAGCTGGCTCTTTTGACCTTCAGTTTACGGGGGGGATGCTGGCACTCCTAGGAAAAGAAAGCAACACAAACTTCCTGGCAGATTACCCCTTAAGAGTTTTAACTTCTGTTTCATGAAGTGTTTGGTGCATTCCTTTTATTGCTTCCCTCATCTTTTCATAGGGCATTCCTCCAATTTATTTCATGTCTGGAGGGAACATGACTGCTTGTAAAAATTCGAGAAGTGTCACCACTTGTGAATTAGGGAGTTCTTTAAATGGCTTAGCCCAGATTTCTTTTACGGTTAAGATTAGCAGACTTCAGTTTCTCATTCAGGTTAGATGATCCACTTGCTTCCAATGCTGATTAGTCCCACGCTCAGTTTTCTTCTTCCTTTGAGTCAGTGGGCCATGGCCTCTTCCTTCTGAGCTGGACCCCGTCAGAGCTGGTTGTCAACACAGTTGCTGAGGTGGCTTTCCTTGTGGATGCTTTGTGTGTTCATTATGAGTGTATCATATATTCCTTCTATGTTCAGTATCAGTGCTCCCCCAGCTTGTTTGCCTCTTCCTAGTCTGAGATAATTGGACAATATTACCACGTTTATCTTATATCTAGTTCCTGTCATGTGACTTAACTTACTGTACAAATATCCAGGAATTCACAAAGGCATATCCAACAGTGGCATTGTGGGGAGCAGGGTGATAACCAATGAGCAGTTGCCTCTTGGTATGGTTTGCCAGAATGAGTGAAGTCCTTTGGTGATCTTGATGGTGTTTGAGGAAATTTTGACCTTTAAGTCTCTTACAGTATTATATAGAAAATTATATACAGTTTGTAAAAGTTTGTTCTCATCAGGACACACAATTTACGAACTACAAAAATTTCTAAATTTGTGTGTAGACTAAGTGATTGCTTCAAGATTTCAGAAGAAGATATTTGGTTTATGTTGATTATTTTATCCTTGGTAAGAGTTTGCAATCATGGCATGGAATATTTAAATAGGTAGCTTCTTAGACTGTGTCAAGCTGCACATGTGGCTAGTGCAGCTGTGTTTCCAAGTGCTGAGGTATCTTCCCAGGAGAATGCTATTCTAGAAAATCACATCCTCTGTACATCCTGACATGTCGTAAATGGCAATGGTCCTCTGCTATGCACTCCATTTCATGGCTGCTGCCTGTCATGTCAGTGTATCCTTTTTTTTTTTTTTTTTTTTTCAAGTTTTACTTTTCATCATTTTTCTTCGGTGTTCTAGCAATCCTTCTTGTAAAAATGTGAATTTTGTCACTCTGGTACTTCCAA